TAAGCTCTTTCGGCATATTTGCAATGCAAGTTGGCTAAACAGTTATTAAGGGCAAAACATCAAAGTGGAATGCTAGATAGTGGCTAAAATTGCTCAGCATTTTCTCCTCTTCGTCGGTGAGAGCAAAGAAACACTGCCTTAAACCCGTTCTGCTGATGATGTCTTTACACCAATTCGAGTCTGTTACCAAATAAGACCCAATCATCTACCGTTCAACAAGCTACAGATACTTTTCTTGGTTGGCTAAGCTTATACAAGTGTTCTTAATGGTCTGTCTACCAAGGCTAGTATGTTTTTGAGGAAGGTGTCAACACTTAGGCTAACCCACAGTTGTTCTTACGCAACTCACTGACTCGACTTACATTGTCGATATTAAGGACCTACTTTGCTATCAGTTTGCGTTTTCTAATCGCTTGGTTATAACTACCAAAGCAATTTTTTCTTCAGTCTGCTTAGTTTTACGGTTCTGTGTTAAAGTAGAGGCGGATGACGTTTGCTCCATGTATGCCTAAAAGGAGGATAGGCATGTCAAGAAGGGGAAATGAACCTTATAAGGGAATGTAAATAGCACTTTGCCATTAAGATTCTATCTTTAAAAGACACTTCTTACTACGTGAGATGGATATGAAAGTGGCTTTAGATTTTGAAGGTTTCCACATATGCCTGAATTGTTCTCTTGACAAAGATCACTAACCATGACCTTTATGCCAATCAATTCCACAGTAGGAATCGTGTAAAAAGAGAAGACGCGCACCGTAATTCTATTTTGACTTTTTGCCTGACCTCTTTCCTTAAACTGTCATCGAAGGGATTAAAAAATGAATAAATTAACAAAGAACTGCCTTTCGCAAGCCACCAACCATGGCTTAATATCGGCCATGTCGGCTCGAAGAAAAGTCGAGTACAGCGTTTCCATGGCTCTACCTCGACTTCACTATGCCACTGGCCAGCATTAAGAATGATTGTCTTACCAAAAAGCGTCTCTTGCATGCAATTAAGAAAATAAGCAGCCAGGGCCGAACGCCAATCACCTCCAGTTTGAATAATGTAAAAGGAGAGTGACCCGCTTTGGCTCTTCTATCTCGATAGGAGGACAGCATTTTGCTTGCACTGCAAAAAACCACTGGACAATGCTAGATGCCAATCAGATGTAGCTTTAAAGAAATGAAAGTGAAACTTCTAAGTTCCTGTTTCTAAATGCCTAAGCTTATGTAGCCAAGGCTCCTCACTACAGATGATGCCTCGTTCTGGGTACTACTCCTTCGAGACCAGTCGACAAAAGAAAGTCTCCTTGAGTGCTTCATCCATTTGTACGGGTAGCCATAGAGTTTGTCGATCAAGCAAGTCCATTTGGGCCCTTTTAAAATCTATTAGGTAAATATGCATGTTTTCTCAAAGAAACATGTACAGGTCGGTTCGTGCACATGAGACATTTCCAGAAGTGGGTCAAACTCTAGGTGATTATTAGTACAAAGTCCTTCTCCCCGTATAGTTGCTGATGTCACCGAAGAGGTTGGTAGATTATCTTAATCAATTGTTTTGCTAACTAATCTTTCGAGGAAACATTTCTCTTGTACCATTAATTTAACAACAGTGACATCACGAATCGACATTGTACACCAGTGACTTCTCTAAACGTCATTAAATTGTTTACTTATGAGCTCCACAACAAACCGTCACATCATTTCACCCAGGACCCTTCAATTGATATCAGTTCTACAGCAGTCAAATTAACAAATGCTGCGAGTTGATAAATGTTGAAGTTTAGATTAAATTTTTGCTTCCATTTTGTCTGGCCGACGAGATCTCGCAACTGATTTTTAGCCGTCTCTAAATTGGAAGTATGCGAAACAAATAAGTACCTCGATTATTGACGACGACTAATATCATCATCTAATTTGATGTGAACATGGCTAAAGTCCATCCTGTTGATTCGCCTTGGAAGAACACGCACGTTGTCTTATGAGGGACCAATATGTCCTAATTTTTATTTGATTTTACGTTTTGGGGT